CGATTTTGCCCTTGAAATTAAGCAATGGTATGTTCAATTGTCCTTATTTGAAACAATATTCAAAATTCAGGATCAAATGTGTCACAATTGAAAAGTCAGGGACTAAAGCGACACCAGCCCCAAATTATAGGGACTATTAGTGCAATTTGTCCCTTTTTTTTCATTGAATGAAAAGAAAAAATTTAAGGTAAATGACAAAATATTTGTATTAAAATCACCAAAAATACATAAGGTGTGTTTGGTAATGTTTACGTTTTCAGTTTATATTTACAAAAATTTTATAAACTGGTTTTTATTTATTTTTTGTTTATTTTTAGAAAAACATAAACTACAAACGCGTTTGGTAATTGACAAAATGTTTAAAAAAAATTTAAAATATAAAAAAGAGTGAAAAATGGCAAGTGGTGGCAAGTGGCGGCGGAAGACGGAGGTGGAAAGTGGTGACGGTGGGTGGTGGGTAGCTGGTGGTGGTAGGTGGTGGCAGGTGGGTGGTGGTGGTGGGTGGGTAGGTGACGGTGACGGGTGGTAGCGAGTAGGTGGTGGCGGGTGAGTGGTGGTGGTGGGTGGGTAGGTGACGGTGACGAGTGGTAGCGAGTAGGTGGTGGTGGTGGTGGTGGTGGTGGCAAGTGGATGGCGGATAGCGGGTGGTGGTGGCGGGTAGGTGGCAGGTGGTGGTGGTGGTGAGTGGATGGGTAACGGTGGCGGGTGGTGGTGACAGGTGGGTGGCAGATGGCGGGTGGTGGTAGGTGGTGGCTGGTGGTGATGGTGGGTTGGTGGGTGACGATGGCGAGTGGTGGGTGGTAACGAGTGGGTGGTGGTGGTGATGGTGGCGGGTGGTGGTAGGTGGGGGGCGGATGGCGGGGGGGGGTGGGGGGGGGCGGGGGGGGGTGGGGGGGGGGGGGGGGGGGGGGGGGGGGGGGGGGGGGGGGGGGGGGGGGGGGGGGGGGGGGGGGGGGGGGGGGGGGGTTAGGGGGGGGGGGGGGGGGGGGGGGGGGGGGGGGGGGGGGGGGGGGGGGGGGGGGGGGGGGGGGGGGGGGGGGGGGGGGGGGGGGGGGGGGGGGGGGGGGGGGGGGGGGGGGGGGGGCGGGTGGTGGGTGGTAGCGAGTGGGTGGTGGTGGTGGCGGGTGGGTGCCAGGTGGCTGGTGGTGGCAGGTGGGTGGTGAGTGGTAGTGGCAAGTAAGTGGCGAGTGGTGGTGGTGGCGGGCGGTGAATGGTAGTGGCAAACGGCAAGTAAGTGGCGAGTTTTTTAAATTTTTGTAAATATAAACAGAAAACTGAAAACGTAAGTGTTACCAAACGGCACCTTAGCATTACAATAGCTCCTCTTTGACACTCGACTAATTTTTCGACTCTTTGCTTCTTTTTCCTTTTTGCCAATCCAGACGGATAATTTCTTTTAACAGTCATGATAAGCTGAGATCAAAATATTTTTTTAGATCAAAATTCAAAACAAGAGCACCACCACTTAACAAAACACAAAAATTTTAAATTATGTGATGTGAACTATTAAACTTAAACAAATTCTTCTTAATGATATAAATACCAATATTATAATAGCAATTAATTGAGCAAAAGACAAGATAAATATTTAATTAATTGAATAAAAAGAAAAAAAAATACCTGTGCTGCTGCTCTGCCCCGTCATGTGCTGCTTCTTTGCTGCCTTGTTGGCTTGGGTTGCTGGTGTGCTATCAAACAAGCTGTAGGGAAAATTGGATTAAGAGAAGGTAGAGTTAGAGATTAGAAAAAAAAGGAGCCTTACAAACTACTATTGGGCCTTAACTATTGGCCCTTAACTGTTATAGAAATTAGATAGGCATTTGTCAAAGTGGGCCTTAACTATTGGCCCTTAATTGTTAGGAATTAAGAATTGGATTAATTGTTGGGCTTTCAAATTGCTGCTTTGTTGGGCTGCAATGTTGGGCATTTTAATTTTTAATGGACCAATTTATTTTAAATTAGTTTGAGTTTTTTAAAAAAAAATTTAAACTTAAAACATACCTAATATATTTTATTAAATTATAATAAGAGAGGCTCTTTTTTTTAGCTTATTTTGAGGGCCCTGAGCCATAGCTTTGTGAGCCTATGGTCAGGGCCGAGTCTGGTGGCTATGGCAATCAACATACAATAATTGGTGGGTTATAGATAATGGGACTTGTTTTGGTTGAGATAAGTATGTGTTGTTGACTGTTAAAGTCCATTGCTGTGGTAACAAAGGGAGGGAGGGAGAGAGAGCAAACCATGACATTTTTGCTGAGTAGATATAGGTCCTGTTTGGCTGTGAGAAAATAAGATAAGGACATTTTAGTCCCAAAATCTAATTTAGTTTGTCATGTGCCAATCACATGACATGTTTCCATCCAAGTTTCTGACGGTTTACTAACGGCATTGGTTAGGTGTCACAAGATATAACATCAAGGAGGTAAAGTGTTGAGTTTTAAATTTTAAGGGGCAAAGTGAAAAATGATCAAAGTTCGGGAGGGTTTATTGTAATTTACCCTTTAAAGTAATTTGATTCTATCTTTAACATCCATCTGAAAAATTCTATTTCCAAACACTCATTTATCTTAGTGTACATCATTTCTTAATGCACACACTTATGAATTTGATCAGGTGTAATTTGTCTCATTTCACACGTCACATATTTTAATTATAACCCTTAATTCAAATATTGTACACACAATTTCCACTTACTTTGCAGCAGTAGGAATCAAATTATCCTGCATCCTCGCTCTATTAAACAAGAACACTTCACGGTCATCAGATGGTAGTTTATAGGCTGAAAGTGGCCGTTGTGACTCAGTTTTCATGTCCAAGCACAAAAGCAACTTGTCATTTATGCTATGTTTGGTTGAGAGATTTGGAGAAGGATTTGGAAAAAGAAAGGGAAAAGGTGTGTGAAACTAGGTGAAATGTAGATATATTTTATTCACATTTCACCTCACTTTTCTCTTTTCCTTTCCAAATCCCTCCTTAAATCCTTCAACCAAACACAGCGTTAAGAAAATCCCAAACACGGATTCTAGGAACCATTGGATGGCCTCAACAACAATATATTCATAACACTCGAGTTCAAACAAGTGTACATTTTCAGCAATATGAACCAGAAGTTTGCCTCTTTAAACTATAGCTTCAGACACATTTGAACTCATTTGAAACCATAATAAGAAACAATACATTTGAAAAAAAAATAAAAAATTAAGCAATGTACTCATTCATTGTCGGTGATAAAGGCTGGAGTCAAATTTTTTTATTTTTTTATTTTTTTATGTGCTCATCCATTAAGATGTGTGGGTAAGACGCACAGTCACGGGTTTCATTTCCCTTGGGATTAAACTTGGGATTTAAGCTGGAGCCGCGGCGATGGATTGCTGTGATTGCTCTCCCGAGGATTAGTCAGACGAGTCAAAAACCAGAGCCCGGATACCTCGGTCATCCAAAAAAAAAAAGATGTGCACTGGAATTTTTTGTTTTTAAAAAATGTGTATAAAGAAAATTTGAATATAATATTAAGAGTATGTTTTGATATCCATTATAGTCATTTTACTTTAGGGTATAATTGTCGTTAAAATAAAATTTTATTTATAGGTATTGAGGTAAATAGGTGTGTGGAAATAAAATTTCTCCATCCATTTACATTGATAATCAAAGAAAATATATTTTATCCTTGTTTTTAAGGTAAATTACCCTAACTCCTCTTTATTTATTTGTTTATTTATTTTGAAATACCATTGTCACCTTGTTATCCTTAAAATTATACTGACATCCCTTGTTAGCTAACTCCGTTAAATGCAATGGTTAAATCACTATAATATCCTTCTACCCTTAACTTCACTTAGGATTGGTTTGGAAAGTAATTTTTTTGACTTTTTGATTAAAATGTAAGGTGAAATTTTGTTAAATATTTAGAAATAATTTTTTAACTTTTTATAAAAAAATATATAAAAAATAGAATGAATGAGAATCAACTTTGACTTTTTAAATATTTTTTTAACTTTTAACTGTATTAACCTCATCTTAAATGACACTTTAATCTCTTTCACCATATGATGGCCGTGGTTTGGTATTTGAGTAACCACCTTGAAAAGAGATAAATGAAAAAGATAGTGTATGGTAATACAATATAACAGAATATTTATTCATGGTAAATATATGGTATAATCTGATCGGAGATAAGACCAAATGAAATCAAATTGATAACTTTATGGATCAAAATGATAAAATTAAAACTTAAGATACTTAAATGACAAAGAATGCGCATTTTAGGGATTACAACTGTTTTTAATCTTTATTTCTCGTTATCAATATTGACAGACGTTAGAGTTATGATCAATTGATAACTTTAAGGACCAAATGATAAAATTAAAATTTAAGAGACTAAAATGATAAAGACCGCTTAGTGATTAAAATTGCCCTTTATCCTTTTCAAAAATTTAAGTGACAGGTAAAAAGAAAACTTCAACATTCTCCTCGTTTATTGTAAACAAATTTGTATAATTTTATCATAAAATTTCGTAATATGAATAATAAAATGCATAACATCACCACAAATTGACATAACAAAAAATATTGTAATCAAACCACAAATTTTGTTATATGAATCACAAAATTTTAAACATTTTGTTACTCTAATTTGTAATGAGATTACTTATTTTGTTATTGATGTTACAAAATTTTATGATAAAATTACACCATTTGTAATAAGGTCACTACTAAAAAAACTACTTTGAGAGAGAGAGAGTTCATACAGAGAGATTTGGGAAGTAAGTGAAAAAGGGGAGATGGTTTTTTAACAACGCGGGTCTTCTTTTTTTTTAATGTAAAAAGTTATTTTTTGCGACCACTAAACCATCCGTCGCAAAAAAATAAACGCAAAAAGTGATATTTTTAGTAGTGGGTGCATATAATATACAGCTTTTGAGGAGTGTGTACCATAGAATTTCCCACAAATGAACTATAAAGCACAAAAATCCAACCAAAACTTCAATTTTGGTAAAAAAAATCATTAGGAAAGCAAAACCACAAATTCAATTGTGACGTTGAATAAGCCTAGCACAGACTTCAGGAAAGCACTTGAGACAGGAAATAACAGAAATTTCAAGACAACTATTGGAAAGTGGATAACCATACTCGCATGTTTTCCAAGGAGAGTTGGGCCATCCATCTACTGGAACCAAAACCTCTGTATATGTTAGAGATCCTTGGCGAAGTTCTAACCATGCATGTGAGAGGAGGAAGCACACTCCAAAACTACTGTATAATTAGTTTTATTATCCTAGCATTCACTTCCCAATCAGTCTAGTTTCATTAAATTCAAACCATTAAAAATATTCTTCTATATAATATATGTATATATGTACTACCAAAAGTCCATAGACAATACTTAGGCTATCTTAATAAAGACTTGAAAACATCTATCATCCTAATACACATACCCTTCATATATTAGAAACATCCCACTTAAACATATCCCAGTATAATCTTCTTGCATAATGTGCCAAAAGCTCACTTCTTCAGCTTGTCGCTCATTACTCAAATTTCAACATATCCATAATTCACCAAATCCTGCCAATAAGAAAAATTAATCAGGATGTCTGTAGGAAACCTTATGATGATATATCATAACACAAATATCAAGTCCAAGAAATGAAATTTTCCTATTTATAAGTCAAATATTCATGCATATGGAAGCTCAACACTCTGACTATCAGAAAACAGTCAAATAACAAATCACAATGAAATCTAAATCATTCAACAAAATACAAGGCTTAGTTTTTTTCTTTAGCAAGCCCCAACTAGGTTGGCACTGAAAAGCAAGCACGATCATATGCTATCTCAATGCCAAGAGTTGACGAGGAACCAACTCAAAGAAGATAACAAAAGCAATCAAAACACAAGCAAGCCCCAACACAGGCTGCCAAATTGCAATGACCAAAACCAACCAATCCAGCAGCAACACCCAACAAACAGCCTATCTACAGCAGGACACTATCTGAGAACAGAAAGACCACAAACTCTGATCTGCTCCAGGTTATAGATTAGATCATGAACTGAATAATGTAGACTTTTGGGTGATGATTTCATCCACATTGCAACTTTCAATTTTATCAAGTCATAGAGCTCCTCCCAATTTGGTTAACCCCCCATTGAAGATGCAATCATTCCTGTGCTTCCACATTGACGAAATAAGAGCAATAGGAATGGCTCTCCACATTACTTTTTCCATCTTTTAACTCTTAAGTCCATCCCACCATTGTAGCAGACCCTCTACAGAACCTAGTAATGGCCACTGCAGCCCCCATCATTTTACCATATGAGACCATACTTTCCAAATCACGGGCAAAAGAGTAGTACATGATATGTTGATTCCTCCTCCTCTTTACAAAAAACATAAAGAACAAGTGCTGCCATTTATACCTATCCTTTTGAGAAAAACAGCAGTTTCAATCCTGCCTCTCCATGCTAACCACCCAAAGAATTGAGCAGTGGGTGGGGCAACATTATGCCACAATAGATTTGGTGATGACAGAACAGGGCCCAAAGCAGCATCACACCACTTATAAAGAAAATACACAGTGAATTCGCTTGAGGAACATTCCCTCCACACAGCACAATCTTCATTATGATCAGAGCAAAGCTAGCAGATTGATCAATTCATCCTCCTCCCAAACAAATAAAGCTCTTGTAAAGTTAGTCACAAATATTTGAGACACATCGTTGTTAAATCTTAAATCCCTATTCTACCAACTATTTTGGGTTGAAGTCGTGACCAATTGGAAGCTTAATGTGAAAGGTTAAAGTCACGCATGGAAAATATGTCAGCGTGAACATGCCATGACATGACCGTATGACAAACAGGGTATGCATTTAAGAAAACAAAAATAAGTAAGATGACATTAGACAAGAAATATTCTAAAATAATCAAAAACTCTTCTAGGCATGAGGTTGCTTACTCGTATGGATAATTTCTAAGCCATTTACATTTGTTCCCACTAGACCCTCAAAAATAATCAAAAGGTTTATAAGGCTACAAATTTTTTTTAGTGTGGTAAAGATTTCGGACATCTAATCACATGATCACCTAGTAGCCTAAAACATCACTGATGAGGCATGCTAGAGACCCCTAAAACATCACCTCCAAATTTTCCTCCAATGACGTGGAAAGGGGCTGGGTCTTTGATGGCTTACTCTAAATGAATCAGAAACTGACACGATGCGGACTGTTGAGATACTGACAACAATCAGTATCTTCTTAAATCTGACAAACAACTAGCTTAGAGAAAGAATAGATACAGATTAAAAAAAATAGATAAACTGAGTTGAGAGTAAGCGGACTGTTGAGGGGTGAAGGGGAGTTTGTAGTGAAAATTGAGGGGAAAAGCAGGGCAGATAGTGAGAAATCAGATAAGAAAAAATGAGAATGATTTATCCGATAAGGAAAAAAAAATGTCAAAAGGGATATATTAATATCCTTGTGTGACATTTTCACTACCATACTTTCTATTTATTTATTATCTTGTGCGTGTTGGTGCTCAAGATAAAGTGTTTTATAATTTAACCAAGTAAACATATTTTGAGTGCATGATGATAATGTGTGGAGATTTCTCCTGACATAACTTTTACACCCTGTAATTTGCCAAATCTACAAATTTAATCATGTCAAATGGCAACAGTCGCATCCACACATACACATCCTCTCCATCCCCACAGTTGAATGACCCAAGTTTAAGTGAAAATAATAGAGTAAACAAACTCAACAATATTAACAAACTAAACATATGAAGGCAATTCTCCGCAATTATTATTGTCACTTTTTCTTTTTTTTTTTCAAAAATTGACAACTTTTCTCTAACTTCTTGTTGCCATACAGATTTTCATTCAATCTGAGAGCACTCTTAATTACAGGGCATCACACTTTCATAAATCAAACTAATTGATCAGGATAAAAACACAATAGTCTACCTTTTAGAGAAAAATATATTTCATGGACAACACATTGCAACAAAAACAGGAAATGACACAATTGGTTCTAACCCACATCCACCTAGAACCTAAACATCAAAGATCAAAAGACTGGGGAGATATATGGCATCTACACCTAGAACCTAAACAATTTTCTAAACAGAATTATGAATGTGAAGAGCTTTATGAACATCATCTCAACAACTCCGATGAATAGGCATAGAGTGCCGCTGCCAACCAACTACAAAGAAGATTCCACTCTCTTCTCGGTACAATAAGTGGAAGCTAGGGGGTATATGAAGAAGGAAAAAATTAGCTAGGGATCCACAACGGCCTGGCTTCGCCAAGATGGTATTGGGTGATTTTGGCCAAGGCCACATGGCATGGCAAGATAGGTCCACACCTATGGCAGTGTCAAATTATAGTCAAAAGGCAAATACATAATTATAAACATATATAAATCCAAAGACGATATGAACTATATCTAATTGACAAAGAACTAAATTCTATCACAAGTATTAAGAGATGGAATTTATCCTCTTATTAGATATAAAAGGTGAGTTAAAACTCGACCATCCTAGGATGATGCCAACTAGGAAAGGAATTATCCAAGAGGCAGACTTCATTATAAATAGGCAACAACCTCTAGCAGTTGTCCACACACGTCATCCACCATGCCATTGTACATTAGACACCACTTACAAGAATTCCATACTTTCCTTCTCTATGATTGATGACTTAAGCATCAAAGTGGCATCCAGCCTGCCACCACCTGTCAAGCAACAGTACCGGTGTCTTATTTTGTAGAGTTCATTGTTTGTGTGCACGGGTAGATGATCATCTCTTAGTTGAAATCATATTTTCAATCGGTGTGAATTTTTTCCCTCACAGTACCCACACTAGGAGTTGTGGATATCCTTCTAACTAATTAGAGCTAAAAAGAAAATCCAGATTAGCTCTATGCCAAAGCAGCAGCCACAGGCTAGTACATTACCTCAGTAACAGGGTGGTGCTGGCAATAGTAGCAGCCAAGAAGACATGTACATTTAAGCTAATAGTAGAACATAGATATCATGCAAGGAATTTCAAATAAACCATGTTTCATAAAACATTGGCCAATAAATGTATACACAGTCAAGGCCCAAGTTGTCAAAAACATTGGCAAGTATATGCACATTGACATATATTTTGACTTACCAAGATCTTTTCAACTTGCAGAAGCTTCTTCAATCAATTTACATCCATGAGGTCCAGCTTCAGAGTAGATTCAGTTGGCTCTTTGAGTTCCACAACCACTGACGAACTAGATAATTCACACCTTTTATTCCTACAATGAAATGGTATCCCACTTATTACTCAACAAAGAATGGTACACACACATATATGATATATCAGCATTATCATTAAAGGAAACTAGAAACTTACATTAGCACAACATCAGAAAACTTTGTATTAGGACCGAGATCATAAGCTTGAGATGAGAGAACCCAAGCGCAGAGAGAGGCTTTGCGTTTAATGGGCAAATAGGATGATTTCTCCGCAACAAATTTGGTGCAGTGTACAGTAGGCCCTTGTCCCCAAACCAAACAAAAACATCTGCCAGTCAAATGAAATAAGAAAGTCCTCATTTCACAAGGATCTACTCTGATCTTCCGTGCTGGATTCTTAAATCCCCTAATTTTCCCCGAGAATGATTTGCCAGTTTCCAAGTCATAAGCGTACATACAGGTGTCGTTGTTTCGTACCAATACAAAGTACTGCCTAAAACCGCCATGTTTGTTTCGTCGACAAGCGATGCAACGCGAAGGTGTTTAGTCAAAGGGTGTTTGGTCCACTTGTTTTGAGAAACATGGTACAAATACGCTTCGTTCAAATAAGCCACAGCCACTAGAATCTTCTGTAAACCCTCGAGAGCCATACACAAAAAACGAGCGGAAGGTAGCGGCTTATCACAGCAGGTAGGTTTAGGCAGAAAACTCCATTTCTTAGTCTTAGGATCAAACACCTCAGCCCAGGTATCATTTTCAGTACCTTTGGGAACGATTTTAACATGATTACCTCCCATGACATACAATTTTCCACCCAGAACCACCGCGGCGGGGCTGTTTCTTCCAACATTCATGAGACCAGAAATCAGATTCTTCCAACGGGGCGAGGGAGAAGCAGATTTGAATCGGCGAACATCGTTAGTGGGGTGAATCTCATACATTGTTCTGCCACGACAAAATCCACCGAGGCAATAGATAGTGGAATCCAAACAAACTAAGGTGCTATCGAAATATTTCTTTCTCGAGATTGGGATGAGTTTCAATTTGTTCTTCTCTCCTCTTTTCACGCAATTGTTCCATTTCTTGCATTCATCATCGACACCACTACTCTCTTGGTTCGAAATGTCGACGGCGTACCACTTCATGTTACTTTTGTGAGTATTGGCGCGAAACCACAGCGATCTCTCGTACCGTTTTTCTTGAAAATAACTTGATGGCGACGATCGATGATGACGTCGCAGTCGACGACTTCGACGCCCTCCAAGAAGAAGATGCACGAACATGTTTGCCCTTTTACCGATCTAATGCTTATGCCTGTTTGGTTTATATGCTGGTTTAGTTTTAGTTTTAGTTTTGGTTGGGCTGTGTTTGGTTAATACCATTTGAATGAAGCTCACGTGTTCGATATTTCTCAAAACAATTGGACCAAACGCACTCTCAAGAGTCAACCTAATCTTTGGAGGGGATTATTTCGGCTCGGGAGATCTATTAGCTCATGCTTGATTCACAAGAGTAATAGTGAAGTATTAATAATTTTATTAAATTAGTGTAGTATTCACTATCCAATTGGATTAATATTCATTGGATTAATAATCCTACCACTACCCCATTATTAATAATCCTACAAATTTGTTGGATTAATTATCCATCGGATTAATAATCCTAAACCAAAATGCTAAAATTGGACCCACGGATTAATAATCTCAATCCCATACTCTAATCCACCCAATCAAACATGCCCTTACGGTATTGTTTTGATAATTTAAATTATTTATTTATCAAATATGTTGTATATTTTATTCGCATACAAAAAAAAATTAATTCGATAAATGCAACTGGTTCAATTTATTCTTTTTGTTATTAATAAAATATATGATTTATTTTTTAAAAATACAATTATCGTCTATTTTTTTTAGTGAAAAACATGATAAATTGAACAAGTTATAATTATCGAATTGATTTAATTTTTTGTGTAGATGAAATACATAAAATACTCAACAAAAAAAAATAATTCGAATTATCAAAACGAGACCCGTGATAAATTCTATGGGCCAAAACAGACCCCTCTAATCCAGATTTTGGATTGAAAGAAATTCTCCTCCATTATAAATACTCCCATGAGTTTTGCTTGAAATACAAATTATTCCTATCATTTGAAAAATTATAAATATATCTAGAATTTTTTATTTAACAAAATTAACTGAAAAAGTAAAATTCGTAACTTTTCTCTTTTTTACAATAATAAAATTACTTAAATTATTAATAAAAATACATGAACATAGTCTTTGAATCGACAAAGGCGCGCCTGGCCTTATTCAATCAATGGTGTTTTGATAACTACGTCATCTACGGCACTTATTGAAATAATAAAAAATGAATTTATGAAAATATATTCCAAAATTTTATACAAATAATGTGACATAAGAGCATCTACAGTGTTGCATCAAACTTTTTATCAAATATAAGCAAATTTTTGATGAAAAATTTAATCTGATATGATGTACTCTAATGTTAAATTCAAAATTTTCATTAAATGTCCAGTTTTTCAGGAGGACATTCGAGTGGATGTCCGGACATGAGCAAAAGTTGGGTTCGAATAAAGAAAACCCAATTGTTTGAGAGGATATTCAGAAGGATGTCTGGCCTAACGGTCATCTACAAATTTGATAAAAGGATAAACGCTTTCTTCATTTGATATCAATCTGATAAAACGGTTGGAGCACCGTTTTCATTAATTTTTCATCAAATTTAAATTTGATAAAAGATCTGATGCAACGTTGGAGATGGCCTAATAGAGACCTTAATTTTAAAATAAAACTCTTTTTGTATAATTTTTAAAATAAATTACATTGACTTTTCTTAAAATTTGAAGAAAATATAATAAATGTCACAAGTTTAATATAATTACACTAGACTCCTTTAAAGTTTTTAATTCATATAAACTTAGTTTCATTTTCTTCAGAAATTTGTTAATGGTGTGATTAAAAAAAATAATATTATTACCTCTTTAACATTGAGATATATATTTTAAGTTGCGTATTTTGTTTTTTCCACACCATTTGCAAATGGTATCATTTGTTATATTTTATCTTTACGTGTCAATAAAAATTTTCATATTGGGTAAATTACAAATACATCTCCTAAGATTTTATTAAAATATGAAATGCCCTTGTAATTTTAAAAATTACAATTTTTCCCTTCAAATTTATATTTGCATAACAAATGACCCATTTTATTAATAAATCATCAAGTCAATTAACAATTTTTAATGATATCAGAAATAGATCTATGCAAAATACAGTCCAATTCGTTTCGATGCGCACTAATTCATCTGCTAATTGCAGATTAAATTTTGAAATTTATAATCCTCTTTGAAAATCGCTTTACTCCACTATAGTTAATACATGCATTTTTTTAACCTCTAATGAAGTATCAAAATAAATAGGGCTCTCCATCCAAAGATCCAAATTTGAATTATCTTTGTGTAAAAGTCCAAGCCCAAAAATATTTTGTCCACAAGGACATGTTCAGACAAAATGACCAAACTATCCCTACTAAATTTATATATTTGTCTCTCTCCTCATTCTCATTTCCAATTCCTACTATCTACTCATCTCTCTCTACTCATCTCTCTCTCTCTCTCTCTCTCTCTCTCTCTCTTCTCTTCTCCTCTCTCTTTTGTACCTTCGTCATAGCCTCCTCGTCGTCGTCATTTCATCGTCTCTGCTACCTCTCCGCCGCCATTGACGTTCCGTTCATCTCTTTATCTTCGACATTCCGTTTATCTATCTCTCTCTCTCTCTCACACACACACAATTTTGAACACCGCTCGTTTGTATGGATCAACACAAATCCCCACAGATTTCAAATCTGTATGGCCGCCACACCAATACCACCACACAGTCGATCAACACCGCCACGAAAGCGAATCCTAATCCATTCTCTATCAAGATATTCACTCTCTATTTCTTTACCATCTTCATATCCTTCATCCTCTATCAAGATGTTCACTCTCTATTTCTTTACCATCTTCATATCCTTCATCCTCTCCACCTCCACCGTCGCCGTCGTACCAAACGAGGAACTAGAATCGATGTTGGCTGTGTTTAGAACTAGAGGCTGCAACCTCTTTGGTAACGCATTCACCATCTTTGACCTTGATGTAGGCCAAAAGGTACTACATTAAGGCCGCTTAAAGTACATTTATAGTCTTTGAATTTTGTTTATTTGACAAAGATGATGTGTTTTGTACACTTGTATAGATTTGGCAGGCAACATGCAAATTGTAGGCGCTTGAGCGGCCCACCTAGGGATGCGTGCGCAGAATTTCAAGTTTGTTCTACTGAAAATAAAAAAAGAAAAAGAAAAAGAGGCTACTCTACGGTTCCGAAAATTCCAAAAAAAGAAGAAGAGCTAGGGTTTGGAAAGAAGGGTGAGGGTTCTCAAACTTCAAGAACATTTTCCATAGGGGTTTCTTATTCTTCTACCTTTTCTCATGCCTCCATGAGTGGCTAGGTTTCTATTTCTAGGGTTTTCATGAAACCCTAGCCAAGTAAATAAGGTTTTCTTTTTGGTTTTTGATTAGGTAATGGTTTGAACAAGTTGTATGGTATTTAAGAAGTGTTTAAATATATTTTCCATTATTTTTTCAAGTATTCTTCTTTGTGCGATTGTTGAATGCTTTCTATGACATGGTTTTCTATTTTTTCATATTTAAGGTATGAGATGAGTCATACCACGAGAGACGAGTCGTTTTGCTACCCTAGTTTAAAGCGAATGACTCGTGCTACTTGAGATGGTTCGTTCCTATACATTAAACGTGATAATTCTCTCGATTAATGCTTCGAACTTGTGGTTGCGAGGTATTATTTGGTTCGAACCGTAACATAATTAATTTTCAAATTGAGACCTTATTTATGTAACTAGTGGTGAATTCATTACCCTAGGTTTTTCCCAAAATCAATAATTCCAATTTTACTTTTAATTGCTCGTTGAATTTCCTAGTATTTTAATTATTATTAGTTTATGAACAATTATCTCGTTTATCAAAATTAATTTAGGAATTTAACAATTAAATTAGTTTAATTTCACATTTGTCCATGTGGATCGATACCTGGACTTACCATTATTCTAAGGAATTTGGTACAGATTAGTGTTTATTTTGGGTGTGTAAAACAACCCATCAGATCTCTACTTCGACCTCCTTGCGGGAACTCCTTTCACCATCTTCATCGCCACCGACTCTTTTCTCTCGACATGACTTCTTCAGCCTCTGTTTACATCACCGCCCTATGCTACCACATTGTTCCTCTTCGATTATCCCTTGCTAATCTCCGAAATCTCACCTCTGGTTCGATTTTGCCCACGCTATTGTCAATTCACAATATTTATGTTCAAAGAAAACTCGAATTAGAAATCATTGCCGCTGATGGCGTTGATATTGTTATAACGATTCTGGTTTAAACCTGACCCGTTCATTGTTTTGGATTCGGGATTTCTTCTTGATGGTTGTTCATGTTTTCTTTCGTTTCATTCCTTATTGAGTTGGTTATTGGAATGTCTTGGTTGTGTTTGAAACAGGTTGGGAGTTAGTTTTTCAAAATTGTTACTACACAGTTTTTTGGCTCTTTCGCTTGTGCGAAGTTTCTTGCACTCGAGCAAACTTTGAGAACTTCCAGTACTTTTTATTGAGAGTATGACATTCTTCACTCGAGCGGTGTTTTTTGCGCTCGAGCGATCTTTTGGAACTCTTAGTACTTTTGTAATCCTGTAAAACTATTAGCAGGGTGGTGTTTTTAGCTCGAGCAATCTTTTTTGCGCTCAAGCAGTGTTAGCTCAAGCTATCCTTCTTGCGCTCGAGCGGTTAGCCTTTATCTGTAAAACTTCTAAGAGCATGTCATTGTGCGCTCGAGTAGTACTTTGTTCACTTGAGCGGTCTCACTTTTTGGGTTTGGTCGCTTGAGCGGTCTGCATGTATACTAGTTTCGAAAAGTCACTTTTTGAGTCACTTTTTCATATCTCTCTCTCTCTAACCATTTCAGAACTTTAGATTTACACACACACTCTCTTTAGTTCTTGGACATTTGACCCGAATACTCTCGATCCGTACATTTCCTTACTCTAGTCTCTTTGATAAAAAGGTAAAGCACGTCAAGGGCTTCGTTTAATCGGAGAAGTTCGCGTTTTTGGTACCATCAAGTTCTACCCATCTTTCCTTTGTGTCTTCTTCTTTGAGGTAGGGATTACTTTGACTATGTTTATGATTTTTAACTTAGTTATTTGTCTTTTAAAAAGGATATTGTGATTTGGGGATTTTTATAAAAATTTAGGGTTTTTGTTTGAAATCAAAAGAAGGGTTT